ACATGTGAATTTATATTGGACTGGATATTATCTTTTGCTACATGTAGAGGAAATCTAATAAGCATACACAGATGCAGCTTCGTTTTAGTTGGGTTTAAATCCTCAGATCTGCAAATGTTTGCCACAAATGTGTTTTAACATGTGAAGCTTTTCACTTTGTACATGTGTCATTCATACTGGTCTTCTTTCCCAATTAATTTCACCATTTAAAAAAAAAATGAGTAAAATCACATTTTTAAATATACAACAAATAGAACGTAAGCTGCCCCGATTGATAACATAGTTTCTAAGTACAGTCCACACTCGATAATTTGAAACTCAAGGGACTAGAAAAAAAAATTCTAATTACCAAGAGTTCAAAGTCTGGTCTGGTCACGAAATTAGCCGTGTTACACCTCCGTGTCTCGGAAAGCACGTAAAACCGTTGCTCCTGCGTCTGACCTCTCGTGTTAGTATTTGCGCACACATCACGTACACTATAATAACCTGTCTATGTAATATATGTCTATGGTCTTACGTATCTACGTAAGACCATTGACATGAATGACAGAATGGCTCTAGAGCCATTCTGCAGCTATATTAATAGTATAGTTGTAGTACGAATGGGTCGGCTCGACTGGGGAAGGACCACGCTCTCACAGAATACCAGCGTAAAATAGCAGCTTAATGCTGCTGTGTTTCGTATGGTGAGTGTAGAGAACCGGAGACCATTTTTACTGAAAAAGAGGCATTCCATCTTAGTCCTCACGGTTGACAACGCTTCTGCATTTTGATTCGCAAACGAGGAAAGATGTAGATGACTATGGGCCACAGAAACCACTTACCATCACGTGGACTGTGAGGTAGTTCGTCACCCTTATCAAAAAAAAATTATAATTGGTAATTTTTGTAATGAATTTTTTATTTCTTTAACAATTCTATAAAAGAACAACGGCTCATTTAGGAAAATTAAAAGCAATCTAAATAATTCAAATAAACGTCTGTACGGTGGCAACAACGTTCCACCTAAATTACCTCACTGCGGGAACTTTATGTCGGAAGTTCGCATCACAAATAAGCAGGTTCTTAAAACCTTGCGGTGTCTAGACGTGAATAAAGCTAGTGGATCGGATGGTATACCAACTATAGTTCTAAAGGCTAGTGCACCTGAGTTGTCTCCTGTGCTGACACGCTTGTTCCGCCTCTCATTTAGAACTGGAATAGTGCCAAAGTTCTGGAAGCTGGCCAACGTGCAGCCTGTTCCGAAAAAGGGCAGTTGTGCCGACCCTGCCAATTATCGGCCAATCTCAATTACCTCCATACGCTGCAAAATTATGGATCATATATTAAACGGCCGCTTAATGGCATAGCTAGGACAGAATGACCTCCTTAGTGACCGGCAATACTAGTTTCGCCGGTCAGCTGGGGACGTTCTAGCGTATGTCACACACGTATGGGGCGAGGCGCTCAAGAACAGTGGGGAAGCACTTGCTGTTTCCCTTGATGTCTCGAACAGCCTTTGACAGAGTTCAGCACGCTAGCCTTTTGGGTAAGCTTCCAGCGTACGGCTTATCCCCTGGTCTGGTTCACTGGGTAAAGGACTTTCTGAGTGAACGGTCTCTCCGGGTCGTCGTAGATGACTGCTCATCCGATCCTGCGGCGACTAACGTCATATTACTCTCTTCCTGCTGCATATTAATGATCTGCTTATGCCTGGTATATATGGGTATACATATACAGACGATAGCACAGTTGTGGAGAGATACGAACCAAGTCCTCGGGCCAGTCGGGATCAAATCCAATCCGAAAGAGAAGCTATGGTAGATCGTGTGTACCTCACACTATAGGCAGTGTCCGAATGGGCGATGCCAATCTTGTGAAATTCATCGCCTCCAGAACACAAGCGTGTCTCTTCACTGCAAAAAGGAGCCAGCTCACTTTGGCGCCTTCTTTCCAAAATGTATCACTGGAATACACCGACCGCCTTCAGTTATTGGGGGCTGAGATATCCTCAAATCTGAACTTCAGGCCGTTCATAGAGTTCAAGGCCAAGTAGCTGCAAGGGAACTAGGAGTCCTTGCAAAGGTGCGGCGATACTTCACGCCGGGACAGCTGCTTACTTTATATAAAGCGCAAGTCCGGTCGTGCATGGAGTATTGCTGCCATATATGGGCTGGTGCTGCAAAATGCCACCTAGCAGCTTTGAAGTCAATGGAAAGGCATGCTAAGAGGCTTATTGGTGACCCGAATTTGGTTAAAATCAATCTAACCAGCCTCGAACACAGGCGCAAAATAGCACAGGATGTAGTACAGGATTCATTTCGGAGAGTGTGCGCAGGAATTGGATAATTTAATTCCTTCTTCTCCCTTCCACCATTGGACAACCAGACTTTCGGCTAGTCTCCACCCTTACGTTGTCGACTTACCACGCATTCGAACCAAACGCTTTGCTACATCATTCTTCATGCGTACAGCAAAGAAGTGGAATAAGTTGCCAGCATCTGTGTTTCCATCCGATTACTCTGTGGGTGTCTTCAATGCAAGAGTGAATAGGCTTTTGTTAAGTCAGTGCGCTTCACCACCTTAGGCTCAGAATTATAAAAAAAATACAAATTTAGCCGTCTGATTTGACATCCAACCTATTTGCAAGTCAACAAAAAAACAATGTCATAGATAAACAGACTTATTACCACAGAGTACTAATAGCGAAAAGTAGAACGTACAGATAACCGCCATTAAAATTAGCTTCCGTTTCGTACATATAATATTTTATACGTACGAAGTAATTCAGCAGGAAAATGCAATTGAATTTTATTCTTTTTATTGCTTTGATGTTTGCTTTTACTTAAAAGTTAAAATTTTGAACCCTTTGAGTGGCCTAAGGAATATTAGAAGCTAAAGGTTCTAACTAGAATGTTTAAATAACATTAAAAACCTCACACCTATTTTTCCAAGACAGAAGACTTAACATACCAACAAAAAAACCAGTCGAAGTGAGAACCTCCTAATTTTTTGAAATCAGCTAAAATTAGTTGACATTTTTCATTTAAATAAATTAAAATATAAAATAAACATTTTCATTTGTCACTCGATTACTTGACATTTTTCTGTCAAGTAATCCCAAAATAATGGAAAACCGTTTGAATACATGAGCTGTTAACAAAAATAGCTGTGACCGCGACTTTGTTCGCATAGAATAATTTTTAGTAATTTACTATTATACTTCCCTATTTGAATCCGATTTGTTCAAACTTTCATGGGATTTAATTTTATTTTTCGGAAGTCTAATTATATTAAAAATAAAAGTAGCCTAAGTCACTCCTTATTACATCAGCTATCTGCCAGTCACAGTTCCGTCGAAATCAGTCAAGCCGTTTCGGAGATTAGTCAGAAAACAGACACTTCAATTTTATTTATTTTGATATATATTTTATATTAAGTCATGATATGCCAAAAAACAAGCTAAACAAGTTAATTTGAACAACCAAATATCAAAGTTCGGTAGGTATAAGGTAGCGTAAGCCTAAACTATAATAAACCTAATTGAGTAGTCACTTTATTTTATTGCACATCACCCACCTTCGATTTGCCGACGATATAGGCCTTATGGCAGAATCGCTGGAGGACCTAAACACTATGCTCAATGACCTCAATAGTGCCTTCCAACGGATAGGTCTTAAGATGAACATGGCCAAAACAAAGATCATGTATAACGTCCATGTCACACCTATGCCGGTAGTTGTTGGGAACACTAAGCTCGAAGTTGTTGACGAGAATGTTTACCTGGGACAAATAGTCCGACTAGGTAATTCTAACTTCGACCGAGAGATAAATCGACGGATTCAACACGGCTGGGCAGCTTTCGAAAAATTATGGCACATCTTCTCATCAGGTATACCTCAAAACTTGAAAACGAGACTGTACAACCAGTGATGTGCCAGTGATGACCTATGGAACTGAGACGTGGTCCTTCACTGCTGGCCGGATGAGGAGGCTCAAAGGCGCACAGCGAGCTATGGAGAGGGCTATGCTCGGAGTTTGTCTGTGTGATAAACTTAGAAATGAGGATATCCGCAGTACAACCAGAGTGACCTACGTAGCCCAACGGATTAGTAAGCTGAAGTGGCAATGGGCCGGCCATATAGTTCGAAGAACCGACGACCGATGGGGAAAAAAGGTTCTCGAGTGGCGGTCTCGTACCGGCGGACGCAGTGTAGGGCGTCCCCCTACTAGAAGGAGTGACGACCTGGTAAGACATGCAGGAAGTTGATGGATGCAGGTGGCTTAGGACCGTGCTTTGTGGCATTGCTTTGGCGAGGCCTATGTTCAGCAGTGCACTTGTGAAGGGCTGTAATGATGATGATCGTGATGATTATGTATTATAAGATAACTTAGAACTTGCTTCTTCCTAATTAGTAATGAAACTATTATATAACATTTTACTTCCGCTTCCCACTTTCCGCACTGAATTATGCAATTTACAAATAAGTAACACTAATGCAATTTCAGAAAAAATATCGAATGTTCAGATGGTTTTTTTTTTCTGAAAATGTATGCTGTTGGCTCTGCGGCCTTCACAGCTTCATCCAAATAGATTCGCAAGCAACGACTAACGACCTATCGAGTGCAACGATTCGCCGACTGCAGTCGCGAGGCACCCCGACCCATGCTTTTAGAGTGAGGCTCCTCAAGCGAGGGGAAGGGGGCTCGCTGTTATTCAAGGGCCCCTCAGAAGGAAGCGACCTCGGCTTGAACTACTATTGGAATGAGGGAAACGGCTCTCACACTAAAAACTCACCGTATCACGGGTATTGAACCTCGTTTACGACGTGTGTCTGTGACCCTGCGTTTGCCGGCGAACGCGATGCGCCCTAGTGTTCTATACTAGTACTATGTCTGAATGTGTGTGTGTGTCATTCAGATGTGGAAGGGGGGGGGGTGAATATCAACGTGTTGACGTTTTTAATCAAGCTTTTGTATTTTGCTATAATTTTACAAGTGTATATGTTTTGATTTTACAGGGTAATCTCTGGGTTCTAGATAGTGGCATAATAGAAACTATGGAGTCTCCAAGATGTACCTGTCCGCCTAAAGTTGTGGTCATCAACCTTGCTCTTAGAAAACTAATGAAGCGCATCAAGCTAACCGCAATAGTAGAAGTCACATCCCAGCTGCAAAATATTGTTGTTGAATATGAGATAGGGGGGAAGATATTCGTGTATGTATATTGTATCTATTTCGTTAATATTACAGTTGAATTATATTAAATACCAAACATAAGTATTCAAAAACCCATTAGAAAATATACACACTAAATCACACCATTGTAGGTGTATAAGCACATGTCGAATTTTGAAATATGGTATACGCCTTTGATACATGTATATCATGTACCGATAATGTATAAAAGGAGAGTGGGGAAATCACAGACGGTGGGTAATGGCGGACACTCTTGTTTAGATATACTTAATGCCCGTGTAAGAAGCATCTATCCGTATGAGAAACATCTGCTCGGCAACGATTCAGCCTTATTTTTTGTTTTTAAAGCAAACACAGCTGTAAACGTTCAAATCTGAATTAATGACATCGTCAAATAAAAACCCTAGCCCACACACCACATCTGATGACGATATCTGCCTCGACCATTCCTCTAAACAACCAGCTTGCATCGACTACCTACCACCCTATAGATATTGAGACTTAAGCTTCTTAAAAATAATTATCAATTAACAACAACCTCTATTGTTTTTTTGAACTATAAAAATTATATATAAACTAGGTTTTTAGAAACGTATAAAACTCTGGGATAAGTATAAATGTAAATTGTGTTTATTTTTCAACGTGATCGCCTTTAAGCTAATATATCTTGAATAGCGTTTTGTAAGTTGGTTAATTTCTTTGGAAAAAATGGCTTGATCTTGGGACTCTAAAAAGGCCTCTACACACACATCAATCACCTCATCAGAATTTTATACCACGAAAGTGGTTTTGCAAGTGAGTAAAAAGGTGAAAATTAATCGTAGCTAGATTAGGAGAATATGGTGAGTGTTGCATTAACTAAACCCAGCGGTTCGGGTGGCAGCACCTGCAACATCAGACCAGTGGGCAGGAGGATCATGATGAAAAGCAATGCAGCACGCAAGTTTCACGTAATAATCTCCTGTTATTGTCTCCCCTTTACTTAAATTGTCGACCATTATTATACTTCCGCATTCCAGAAGACAGAGGCCATTATTTTTCTAGCAGAAGCAGACACCTTGAATTTCTTGGCTGGCTGGGAAGATGGTTTTTTTTCACACCTTTCTTTGGTTTTTCGTCTCCGGATCAAAATGGTGTACCCACGTTTCATCAACTATTATGAAATGAGCGCAAAAAGAATCTGGATCACCTTCAATTATTGCTAAATTCAGCTTTGAAATGTCAACTCTTGCTTTCTCTTGAGCGTCTGTTAACATTCAAGGAACCCAGCGTGCAGCCACCTTTTTGAAGTTCAAGGTATGAGTTAAAATAAACTCAATTGTCCCAAACGAAATCTTTAGAATCTCAGCTAAATAACGGATCACGGTCACACGTCGATCTACCTTAACAATTTCTTCGATATTTTTAACGTTTTCTTGCATAGCGACCGTTGTTGGCTTGTTGGCCGCCCGGAGCAAGTGTCGTCATTGCAGACGGTTCTGCCGCGTTTAAAGTCAGCGCACCAGTATGCCACTGTAGAATAAGACGGAGCATTGTCTGCCAAAGTAGCCTGCAGTTCTTCAAAAACACTTTTTGTAGAAAAAATTTTCAAGCAAAAATTTTTAAGGCTTTAACTAGCCTGAATGACCTTGACGAAACGGCGATCCCAGAGATTTTAGCCGATGTCAACACCGTCTAGCAACTACGTTCTGTATTACTTATAAAAGTGCAAAGATTAATAGACTGCAGAGATGACAATTATATAAGTGACATACTGCCTGTTATGCTTGCGCATCACTGAGAATTATGTCGCGGTTACGCATCTTCAATTACATTGTGCTGTAGCTTTGTCCGGTAGGCGTCACGAGCTAACAAGTTATCAAGTTTCAAGTACGTAAGAGTTTTTTATTATATATGTTAAATCGTATTTATTTGTATCGTATTAATAGATCTGGTTCCCGGGTTTGATCCCCGACAGCACGAATGAAATTTGTAATTGCAATTTTCGTCAACACGCATTGGGGAAGCACGGCGGGCATTTCCTTGCCCTAAAACCCTCTCAGAAATAAAAAAAGAGTCCTGTGCCCAGTATAGGGACTTGTATAGCCTATTACTTTACTTTATAGCAATATTAATATTCGTTTCAGATATAGAAGGGTACCTTATGCTGACAAAAATATCATGTGGAGGCGACGAAAACGTAAAACATCTTTGTACCTAGATAAAACGTTCGAAAGATTGTCAATCATGTCATACGCCACATTTTCTATAGAGCGTAGAACATTGCAGATAGGGCAAAATAAAAAATAATCCATAATATTATGGGAACTATTTATTAATAATATATACATTTATAGGTATTTATAATAAAAATAATGAACAAGCTGCAAGGTTCAACTAATAATGTTTTTTGTAAACACAATCGTAAAATTCCTGTTTTGATTTTTACCAATGGTTAATTGATGAAACGTAGTCAAGATCACTTCATATAAAATATATTTAATTAAAATTGACACGTGACCTATTTGGCCTTCTACTTACAACTCGGCGGAAATTTGAAAAGAAGATCTTGTCTTTTCACACAAGTATTGTTTACAACTGGCATGGTTTCGAAAAGCGTGATTAAGTGTCAGCGATATATAATCAATTAAATACTGAACTTTTATGAAATTTATTTTTTCGTTTATTTTTGTTATATCTTCTTAAAAACTGAGGCCATCTCACTATTTTATTATTTGTTTTTTTTTTGTAACGCATAAGGATAAGTTCGACTAAGTTAGATTAACTTGGATAAGTTTATAATTTTTTTAATTTTATCACAAAATTTCCGCAATAAATTATTACCTTTTCTACAGTGATTCTCTCCTCTTAGTTTCGGCGTTACTGTAGGATGTTATAGTGAGTCACCGTCAGTTACTAAGCGGCCATAAATCATTATATGTATGTATAGACATACAATTTAAAAAACATAAATATTAAAATTTTTTGATTTTAATATTTATGTTTTTTTGAATTTTGATTGCTTTTTTGAAACCTGGTAAAATTATTTTTTTCCATACCAATTGATGGGCCTGAGTATAATGCCAGTTATGCTCTTTGGCTGAAGTTATTTTTTATTTTATGCTAAATTGCAGACAAAACAATATTGCCTTAAGAATATCCACTACCCCATATCGTCTCTTGGGTGTCGTAAGAGGCGACAGACGGCATCAAACCAGGGTTTCGCGGGGCAAAGAAGCTTTTTTTTCATTTTCTAGTTGTTTTAATAAAAGCGCTGCTACCGATCTGCTGGTTTGTTTTCCTCTAACGGTGACGGCTCTTATGACACCCACGGGACCATATGGGGTAGTGGATATTCTTACACCACCACTGAACTGCTTACAGTTACTATTTTTTTTATTGCATTCTCTGAAACAAAAGAATTCAAAGGGCGGACTAGTTTAATTAGCAGTGTTTGTAGCATAACAAGTAATCCATTTCAAGAAGCAAACTTATACTTTATACCACCGGCTTGTTGTTATGAAGTTTTATACGTACAATTAATGGGCACAAAGAAAGTTTGCTATTTTTTGCTAGGGATGTATAAACTAAGAAATTCGTGGATTAATTTTATAATACTAATGCCCAAATACTTAAATGCCGCTCAATTTTGAGATGCCGTTAAATCTCGTGCTGTCTCTATCACTTTAAGTCAAAGTGACTGTGACACCACGAGACTTAACGACATCTTAAAATTGACTAGCGTTTTGAGTATTTGGCTATTAGTTTTATAATAACTTAACGAATGTTGCATATTACACGAATGTCACGGGCAATAAATCTGAACACAATAATAATTAAAAATAATAATTCTAAAACATACGTAACAATGTACAAATAATTACAAAAAATGGTTTCGCAACCGACGATCAGGCATTGCACGAAACTAAATTAGATTACGATCTCTGACACTAGCAATTGCAACAATGCTAATAAGATAAGTATGTATATAAGTGTCGTAATCGCGAAGTGGCAAGCATACTCGAATTTCCACTATATTCATTGCAACACTAAAATTAAGACAAAACTCCATATAAAGTATGATCAGATATAAATGCCCTAAAATTTAATGAAAGAGGGTTGCGCTTGCAGTGTGAAGTATTTTATCTGAAGTTATCCTTATAACTTAAACAAAAGCAGCAGTACATATTGTTAGTGATGAGTGTTTCACTGCACCTTATGAAGAAGTTCACATTGGCACTGCGAGTATATAACACATGTGTGTTATATACTCAGAGTGCCATTGTAAACTTCAACACTCATGTGATGTGCTGCAATAATGATTGGTTATAAGCTAGAATAACACATTTCGAATATAATCGCAATTTCATACGTAGTAGAGTCATGCTGCAGGTATATTAGTAGTATAATTGTAGCACGAATGGGTCCTGCAGTCTACTTTGGCAGACAATGTTCCGTCTTATTCTGTGTACTTATTCTTATTCTGTTTACTTACAGTGGCATACTGGTACGCTGAATTTAAACGCAACAGAATCGTGTGCAATGGCGACACTTGCTCCGGACGGCCAACAACGGTCGCTATGCAAGAAAATGTTAAAAATACTCGTATCGAAGAAATTGTTAAGGTAGATCGACGTGTGACCGTGATCCGTTATTTAGCTGAGATTGTAAGGTTTCGTTTGGGACAATTGAGTTTATTTTAACTCATACCTTGAACTTCAAAAGGTGGCTGCACGCTGGGTTCCTTGAATGTTAACAGACGCTCAAGAGAAAGCAAGAGTTGACATTTCAAAGCTGAATTTAGCAATAATTGAAGATGATCCAGATTCTTTTTGCGCTCATTTCGTAACAGTAGATGAAATGTGGGTACACCATTCTGACCCGGAGACGAAAAACGAAAGCAAGGTGTGAAAAAAAAACCATCTTCCCCGCCAGAAATTCACGGTGTCTGCTTCTGCTAGAAAAATAATGGCCTCTGTCTTCTGGAATGCGGAAGTATAATAATGGTCGACAATTTAAGTAAAGGGGAGACAATAACAGGAGATTATTACGTGAAACTTGCGTGCTGCATTGCTTTTCATCATGATCCTCTTGCCCATCGGTCTGATGTTGCAGCTGCTGCCACCCGAACCGCTGGGTTTTTTAGTTGATGCAACACTCACCATATTCTCCTAATCTAGCTACGATTAATTTTCACCTTTTTACTCACCTGCAAAACCACTTTTGTGGTATAAAATTCGACGACGACGATGAGGTGATGTGTGTAGCAATATTCCCAATAACCACCGGGGTAGGCGTGACATCTTATCACCTATTCGTTGAGAGACACTACCCAAGCAGCACACAAGCGTTATGAACATCAATAGTCCAGCCCACCTAGAACTTAGATTTCTTTTAACAGCGTATAAGAGTGTTGAAAAGAGGTTATATCCTTATAAGAGTGGTTTATGAGTTATTATACAGCTCAAGCTGTATAAAGTCTGTATTATGGGATCTAAGTAAGCTTTGGGTTCTTAATCAGAATATGAAAACTCTGCTATACAACTTTAAGTATTTTGTAACACTTCAATCTGATTTTATCATTAAAGTTGTATAGAAGCTGTTTTTTGCATGCTGTCCCTTGCTTATACAGCTGTAGGTGTTATTATAGTATCACTAAAATCTTATTTCTGAACAATGCTGTATGCAAACCCTCTTCTTAAACGTATTCTTATGGTTTCATTTTATACTTTAGTAAATACAGTTGGTTTATAAATTGATGAGAGTGATATAAAACTAAAAAAATTAATACACTGTTCCCAAGTCATGGTTTTTCATCTTTTATACGCGTCTCTAAAGGGAATTATATGTTATGTTGAAAAATAACTGCTATACAGAGTAAGTAATAAAAATATCCTATTTATAATTGTGCGCCAGTGTGCCTTCACATCCATTAATTTAATTTTTTTATTCTAACCTATACAACCGAGATTTAGTATTTTGTCGTTATATTATTTTGTTATTTTGCTGACGCGGCAATTTTTTGACAGAAAACATATACAATTTTACCGTAAATCTAATTTTGCACTTTTAATTTACCAATTATCACCGTCAAAACTCAACTCCAATCCGAATATAGTATTAATATGTTAAATATATCTTAAGAAATTAAATGTTGCCATCATTCAATTAACGTTCCATTTAGTTTTATATTCATTTGTAATTCCGTTCAAAAACCAATTTAGAACGTTTGTCTTTATAAGTTACTTATGATAAAATATATTTAATGTAATAGTTTCCTTGCACACCAAATAACAGCTGTAATACAGCATTTATACAGCAACTTTTATGCTTGTGCAGCTACTGTACAGCGTAACTAACACATAAAGCTGCATAATTAGGGCCATTTTTTACTTATAAGAACTGTATGCGAGCTTATACAGCTTTTATACGGCCTCTACTATAAAAACGAACTTCAATACAGCTCGTATACAGCTTGCATGCTAATACTGCTAAGTCCCTCCAGCGATTTTGCCTTAATGACGCCGGGAAATTGAATGTAAGTAATGTACTCGTACTTTCCAATCCAACAATTAAAAACATCTTCAAATTCAATTGAGAATACAACGTCACACAATCTTACACCTCTCTGCAACTCGTTTCGTTCTCGGGTTCTGTACAGATGACCATCGTAAGCCTACTGTACAAACACTTCAGCACTTCGATATACCGACAGTTGACTTGGATCACTAAAGGGACAGTAGCACCATAATCAAACGGAATCAAAGGCTTTTTTCTCATAGTCCACATACGCAATACAAGGTGGCAGATTGTACTCTTCGGTCTTCTATACAATTTGGCGAAGTGCATGTCTATGGCACTATAGTCTTTTCGGAAACCGGCTTTTTCGGGAGGTTGTAAGTCGTCTAGACTGTGTGCGAGACTTTTCATGATGACACTCAAAAAAGGACGCGGACGCGATTCAGAATGGACGCCATCCTAGTCCTTTAATAGAGCGTTATCACCTTTCTGGATGAACAAAACCACCACACTTCTACTCCACACTGATAGAGTAGTGCCAACATGGTGGGCGTAATCGAACTCTGAGGGTGTTTAAAAACCGGTTTTCTAAAAAAACCGTTACCGTTTTCAAGGTGCGCTATTCTTATCTCGCTCAGACTGACATCGGGGATATCACCGGATAGTGTCAGATGAAACTTGCTCTCAGGTCGTTACTGACATTTCTGTATATGGCTCCAACAACGATATATATATCATATCAGTTTATTTTTTTAGAGATAATATTGATAACAAACGAGCACACATTTAGTCCAGCTGATGGTAAAAGAATGTTGTGGCTCATTGACATCTACATCTACCATCGATCAAGAATCAAAATGCAGATATGTCGTCACACACCTGGGGACTTAAATGGAATTCCTCGTTTCCAGTAAAAAGGGGAACCGGTTCTCTACACTCACCATATTCGAAACACAGCAGCATTAAACTAGTATTTCACACTGATATTCAGTGAGAACGTGGTCACACCCCGGTCGAGCCGACCCATTCGCGCTACAATATATAGCTGCAGCATGGCTCTACCACATCTAAAAGTAGTCTGTAAAACCTCCCTCAAATTCTCATCTCCCATTTCTGAGGTGTTTGACGTCCCGATATAAAAGTTAACCGGAGTACCTTCAGCTTTTAATTATTAATTTTCGTCCGAATTACAGGATCCCAAACAGGTGGTAGTACCCAGTCGCCTTCTCAATTAAAATAAGGATGTTTTTTTTTAATTCAATAACCTCGCGTATCATCTTTTATAGGATATATCCATTATTTTCAGATTTTTGGTCTATTAAATCTGATGTAATGGCGCGAGCCATCTAGGATATGATCACAGACTACAGACTCAGTTGTATTGAAGTTGTTAAGTCTCGCCACATGCAGTTGGGATCTGTCTGTTTAATTGCCTATATACTAGTGATACACAGTTATATTTGTTTAATACTGCAATTTCAGCCCAACGATCAAAAGTGTGATCCCCGAGTTTTTGGGTTCTTGTGCTACAGATTTTAAAAACTTAGACTCTCTCTAGCTCCAATCACATAGACAGTTTCCACGAGCTCATATCATCCACTTTATTGCAATCTTCTAGGCACTGAAAACGATTTTATAATGCGAGCTGAAAGTTTTTGGGACTTTGGATTAGAGCGCGAGGGAGTCGCAGCGCTGACTTCATTGGACGTAACCTCTTTAACTTAACGTAAGAGTTCAGTGTGCCTCTCATGATACGGTGATCGCTACCAGTTGTTACGCTCGCGATCACTGAGTCATCACTAATAAGCGGTTGTCGTTTAACCATCACAACCTTTTCACTTCCTACCGTGGAAGTCGTAAGAGGCGTTTGGGGAATTCCAGAAAGATCTGATAGATACCGAATATCTTCCTATAGATGACAGTATAACCAGTTCGTTCACGCATTAGGTAGAGCATAAAATAACTGCCTGTCTGGTATTGTGATCGCCAAGCCAAGCTTGGCCATTATGGTAAATCCGCCGTTCAACGGACGAGGCCCGTGAATTATACGCGTTGATGAGGAAGCCCTCTATTTCATTTCACTAGTAATTCTACAAAAGTAGACAAGAAAAATATAGAAATGAATTAAACTACCAACTTCATATCACATATCGTTCTATTAATCTAATAGAGAATAATCCAGACGTCACACATCTTTGACGCTGTTCTCCATCCCCAACCTGGTTATTTTAGTCCGGCTTATGTAAGATACTTATGCTGCTACGCACCTGTTCGGACGTGCGAAGAATAGACTTTAGTAATAATAATTGTAATAAAAATTATCCCATATCCTATTCCATGAGATAGGTTGACATTTACACCAAATTCAAAGGCTAGACCGTTCCAAGTGAGATTGAAAAATATATCCAGACAAACGTACAAAAATGAAGTCAAATTGTTAATTTCCTCCTACTTTGGATGTAGGGTAATAATTACTATAGGGTAGGGTAATAATTATTATATACTTAATTAGGTATTTTAACTAAAAATTCTACATTTAGCTGCACTGAGTTTGGACCAATGATAATAAGAAAATTGACATTTTAGATACATATCTGATGCTTCCCGTGGGGCTATCATTGTCTACGATGTATTTTCCGAAGATGGGTGGTCTGTGACAGTGTGTGCATCGGCCTTTGGGATCCAACTAGCTCTCGTAAAAAAGGGACCATTACATGGTACGTCTCTATTGTTAAGCAGAATGAATCACAGAGGTCTTTTGGAACTGGACACTACATCATTAAAGAGAAAGAAAATGCACTCTTCGTTAACAGGTAGGTAAGATACGAAATAACAAAATTGATTCATTATTACAATAGAAATAGAAATCTGCATCAGTCTATCATAAAAAAATAGTAATACTTCCTGGCACGAGTAAAAATTATATTATATAACTTCAGAACTATTCAGACGAATAGCGTTTTATAAAAATGTATATTTGTAATCCTAAGTAATATACCCATATCTAACAATAAAAAGGTAAAGTTACAGCCTATACGTACCACAGCTGGGCACAGGCATGAGAAGAGGCCTGTGCCCAGCAGTGGGACGTACACGCACTGTGGGCTAAGAGTTATAGAGCAATTTGTCCACCACACTGATCAAGTACGTTTTGGCGGACTTCTCATGTCCTCGAAATAGTTTTATTCATCAGACAGGCGGGTGCCTCACGGTGACTTCCTTCAATATACATTTTTTTATAGGATAGGGTGACAAACGAGCACACAGTCCACCTGATGGTAAGTGGTTGCTGTGGCCCATAGACGTATACATTTATTCTCGTTTGCGAATCAAAATGCAGATGCTTTGTCGCCCGTGAGGACTAAGATGGAATGCCTCTTTTCCAGTAAAAAGGGTCTCCGGTGCTCTACACTCACCATACGAAATAGCAGTGTTAAGCGTCTCCCACACAGAAGCGGCTTGCGGTGGCGGCCGCGGTGGCGGCCAGTTGTATTCGCTTGCAATGTAAGTGAGTCTGCAAACCCATGCGGCCATGGCGCGGCTTGCGAGCGGCTGGCCGCGGCCGCATGCTCCGCCCCATTTGCCAATGCGTGTGTGTTAGCGAGTACGCGGTCAGTCGGTGGCTGCAGCGCGGTCAGTTGTAAATTTTTACAACAGGCCGCGTGTACCGCGTGAAAAATAGTGCTAAATTCAGAGATTTTAATAGAAACAGTGCAAAATTATCTAGTACTTTATGATAATTCGCATCGTGATCATAAAAGCATTAGTATTAAAACAAAATATATGATAATATTTCTGAATATAATAAAGACTTCGTCACGGTTTGTCATGTTCGTACGTCCGATCGTAGCACAGACACCACAGCGAATGGCGCTTCAGGCCGCCACTTGGGCCGCGGTGGTGTGTTGTTACAGCGGCTGCAGCCGCGGCCCGCGGTTAGCCGCCACCGCAAGCCGCTTGTGTGTGGGAGACGCTTTAAGCTGCTATTTGACGCTGGTATTCTGTGAGAGCGTGGTTCTTCCCCGGTTGAGCCGACCCATTCGTGCTACAACTATACTACTAGTATAGCTGCAACATGGCTCTAACACGTAAAATCTGTTAACACTCACTGTCCGGTTTGCAGACACAATAGTAAGACAATAGCAAGGACCTATAAACTATAATGTAGTGCACGGGACAGCGAAAGGGTTAAGTTGGCACTTACAATTGTAATTTAAAATATTTAAATGGGTACCATTTAAATAGTTAGTAGCCAGAAGTTAGGTTACCAACCGAATTAATTATTAATCTATTTAATATTTATTATTAAATAATAAGATTTGAAATGAAAACTGTTGTATCAAGGTAAGGTAATACAGAGATTATTTTTGAAGAAATTAAACAAGGTTAATTTTGTACGTGGTAGAGCCAAGTTGCAGATATATTTATAGTATAGTTGTAGCACGAACGGGTCGGCTCGACCGGGGAAGGACCACGCTCTCACAGACTACCAGCGTAAAATAGCAGCTTAATGCTGATGTGTTTCGTATGATGAGTGTAGAGAACCGGAGCCTTTTTACTGAAAAAGAGGCATTCCATCTTAGTCCTTAAGGCTGACAACGCATCTGCATTTTGATTCGCAAACGAGGATAGCCATAGGAGGAGAGATTGCTGAGGCCCATATACATCTACGTATATGGGCCTCAGCAACCACTTACCATCAGTTGGAATGTGTGCTCGTGTCACCCTATTTCTATTTTTTTTTAAAATAAGGAACTGTAACGAATTCACTGCCGAGCAAGGAAGTATGGGTTATACTTGCAGATCTATGATCATCATACATGTAGGAATCGTTATTTTTTATCATTATAGTATCAAACGAGCTAATACTACCTACCTATTTGTAAGTGGCTACAGCAGCATTTCGACTTCAAAGTAGGCTACAGGTTCGCTTTCAAATTTGAGAACTGTGATGGAATGTCTGTGTATAATTAAATATCATTCACTCGTATTGTATCACAATTCAGCAGTGGTTTCACTACTGCCCTATATAGTACATTATCTATGTTCACTACCTTAACCAGACGTCCTCCTCGGCAGAAAAGGAGCCATCACCTAGAAATTCCGTACGTAAAATTGTATCATGAGTCATCATCATCATTACAGCCCTTCACAAGTCCACTGCTGAACATAGGCCTCCCCCAAAGAATGCCACAAAGCACGGTCCTGAGCCACCTGCATCCATCGACTTCCTGCATATCTTACCAGGTCGTCACTCCATCTAGTGGGGGGACGCCCTACACTTCGCCTGCCGGTACGAGGCTGCCACTCGAGAACCTTTCTTCCCCATCGGTTGTCGGTTCTTCGAGCTATATGGCCGGCCCATTGCCACTTCAGCTTACTAATCCGTTGGGCTATGTCGGTCACTCTAGTTCTACTGCGGATATCCTCATTTCTGAGTTTATCACGCAGAGAAACTCCGAGCATAGCCCTCTCCATAGCTCGCTGAGCGACCTTGAGCTTCCTCATCCGGCCAGCAGTGAAGGACCACGTCTCAGTTCCGTATGTCATCACTGGCAACACGCACTGGGTGTACAGTCTCGTTTTCAAGTTTTGAGGTATACCTGACGAGAAGATGTGCCGTAATTTCCCGAACGCTGCCCAACCGAGTTGAATCCGTCGATTGACCTCTCGGTCGAAGTTGGACTTACCTAGTCGGACTATTTGTCCCAGGTAAACATACTCGTCAACAACTTCGAGCTTAGTGTTCCCAACAACTACCGGCATAGGTGTGACATGGACATTAAACATGATCTTTGTTTTGTCCATGTTCATCTTAAGACCTATCCGTTGGGAAACACTATTGAGGTCATTGAGCATAGTGCTTAGTGCCATGTATCATGAGTATTTATTATTTATGCGCTAAAACCAAAACGTTGTCAGTGGGGCTCTTATGCACTCTTTCTGCGGGCGCTAGGTATATTTTATTTCTAGAAACAAGTCTCAACTTTTTACCGCTAATAATAAAAAATCTTTCGAATAACAATAATCTTTTATAAACGAATATTTGCTTACACATTTCTACTAACTAGATCTTTTGTTTAAATTACATGTTCTATTTTCTTTCAGTGTTAGGTGAAAACGTAAGGCCGATGTTTCTTCTCGGATTCGATGCCCATCACTTATATTTACGACATGCTGAATGCGCCGATGTTTTGTCATGGGATACGCGAAAATCATACAATTCGTCCAATCTTGTAAATATTCACTCGGCTGGTCCCCATATGACACCCACTTCAGTATCATGTGACCCTCTTAAATATGTTCTCCTAGTGCTAGATTCCAATTACGCGGAGACAGTCCGTGGGAAAAATGCAACATACCATAAATTAACATTTATTGGACAAATATAAGGCTTCAAAATTTATGTTCAATGGTTGTAGACCGCAATACAGCAAGGAATGCAAAATTACTAAACAACTTATAGCGTAAATTAAGCCGAATTAAATCCCGCCAATCATAATATATAAATTGCTTTCGCTGAGCGAATGTTTTTAAAGTTTTATAAAATTAAAGAGAACAAGGTTGGATAAAAACAAAACAAGATGGAGGTGCACATAACACTTATATATTTAACATAACGTGTTGAAATTAAAATAAACATTTTTAAATTAAAACAACGAACATAATTGCTATAAATAGATAAAACGACTTTATTTTTAAGAATATACTCACTTATGATTATACTACTACATTCACAGAAGAATGATATTAAACATTCATAAGTGAATTTTTCAATATGCACACAAATTGATTGCAAACACTTTTGTAATGTATGTTTGTTTTTATATTAGGCCATATATCTTCGATAATAAAAAACTTAAAAGTACTATTTTCAATATTAAGAGCCAGTCATTTACTTCTTAGTATAATATATAAAAAGTTGGGAGCGTAAAGTAATGAATATACATTACCACCTACAACAGTTTTGTTTTATTTTTGTAGGTATACCCTTTCAAGTTGACATAAGTTTTGACAGGCCCGGTATTACAGGTTGTTTTTTTGTTTATAAGCTTTTCTACTACTTGAGAACTTGGGAAGAAATAAACATTGCCACAAAATTCTTTATAACAAAACATACATATAACATAAACAAATAATAAATTATACTTAACATTGTTTCTAAACACAATTTACACATTGTGTACTTTTGGTGCTTGAGACAGAGGCGAATTAAACGTCGACAACGCCCTCGGCTAACACCTCATCGGCGCCCCTTTAGCGGGTCATCCATATATTATACTCATTTTGAAAATAATCCATATTATAATTTAAAATATAGTGTAATATTTGCAAAATAATTAGGACACGAGTAAAATGTAATGAGGGGCGAATTAAGGTATAAAGGGGTACAAATTTTATTTTCTTTTAAAAACTTCCACGCGCGTTCTTTTTTAAACTTACTTTTTTTACTTTGCCTTACGAATAATCCGCCACTGACTTGAGATCGATAATGCATAAAGAAAAAAGGTATTAGCTTGGTAATAATCACATTAATGAAGTAAGCACCGAGCCATTTTCTTTCAGACTATTATATCACTGTTACTTAAATAGACCAATTATGCAATACAATAGTGACCGCTCTCCCTTACAACACACAAGTGTCTTTTATAATAAAAATAAGAATGCAAACATCACATTAAGTGCGACTGATATTATATTAATATCAATTATCCATCCAATATTTACAATATTCTATCCAAAGCAAATATTGTTTGGTATAAAGTTAATAAATTAGGCTGTAAAATATATATATAAAGATCGTAATATATTTACATTATTTCACATGAAACTATGTTAAAATCATATGTTATTTCGAAATATATACATATTATTATGGAGGCGTATTGACACTAAAACATATTTAAGTCATAACGCTTCCCAATTTCATAATTTCGATTATCACACAACCAATGCAGAACTTAATGTTCTGAACAGGTATCTGCTAAAATTACTTTCATTAGTATTTCATACACTTTTTATTAAATGTCATTGGTTTGGTTAATCCCCACAGACTATATTTTATGTTTACTTTTTAATTACATATCTATACAGCCAAGGCACAAGTGTGGTATTTGTAATGATAACATTGTTTATAGTATTTCACCTACAAATCCGTATACAAAAAACCACATCAATGTACTGAAAATTAATCTTTTTACGTTGCAATACTCACTGAGAACAACCAGGTATATAAGTTAGTAAATTAAAATAGTCGAAAGAGACAATACAGGTGATAAAATTAATAATTCATAAGAAAGAAGTAATGGATCTACAAATATTCATATATTCTAAATTAAGTTAGTTAAACACAAATTCTAAAGCATTAAATTCATTGGTATTATTTTTTTTTTTCACCAAACTTGAATGCAACGCAAAATACTGAAATTATGTACGTTAAAATAATAACATGAATATAAATATATTTTAACGAACATTGGCGGCGGCAAGTTAATATTGAATGATTTGAACAGTCAGCTATTATTATTAAGAATACCAAAACTGCTAGAGACAAACATTTTTAAAACTATTTATATTAATCTATCATAACACTGCAAGTGATCCTTGCAGTGTTATGATTACACTTTAATAAGAACCAAGGAAGTTCAATATAAACTTGAATATAACTTAATATGTTTATAAATTTTAATAAATAGTATCTAAATGTTTAAGTTATACGTTTAAAATATCCACAAAAAGTTTATTAATGAAATAATAAATATAGATAAACTAATATAAATAAAAAATAATAAACGTAAAGGATAAATATAATCCTTAAAACTTTAATATATTAGTCTGTTTAACTAATCTCTCTCTCTCTCTCTCTCTCTCTCTCTTCATCCTCCGCCAATTTCGAAACATTTCGAGCCTCTGGTAGACATACAGTCGGACACTACGTCTATGGAACATCTATGATATACCTTTTGTACATATAAATTAACTGTCAACTATAGGAAACCTTCAGATCTAAGGTTATTTGTAAATGGTAAAAGTTAATGTGTGATTTCAGCTGATCTCATGTGGATATTCGAGTTTTCCAAACGGAAGACTTTTCACCTGAAATGATAAAATACTATCATGATTTAATCAATAAGGCATACTTTGCGCATTGATTAATTAGTAGTGGGAGGCAGGTCATCGTCTATGGTTCTATAGGATGTGCGTTGGCACCGTGTAGTTACATTTGTCATTTGATTTCTACACTTTTTTTATACTTATTATAAGCCAGTGCTTGAACACAATCCCACCTGGTGATAAGTGGTGATGCAGCCCTAGATAGTAAATCGCACTGTCTTAGCGTAACAAAAGCCTATTCACTCTTGCCTTGAAGACGCCCAGATTGTAATCGGACGGAAAGATAGATGCCGGCAAATTATTTCACTCTCAGACCTATACAATTTCTTTAACGAAAAAGAAATTGTATAGGTGTGTACACTGCAGTATTTTTAAGTTACGTCCACACTATGATTTTCTCCTGTATTGTGGGGGCAGTTTACATACATAAATTTCACAAGAACAAACATCCAGATCCGGAACAATTATTTGTACTCCATACAAATACTACTTCTACGGGATCCGAAAGCTCGGTCCTTAGCGCTGCAACTCATTGCTAAGCCACTACGCCACGGCACTGTCAAACAAACTGTATAATAGTTTAATGTGCTGACAATACGAAACCCTGCATGATTTATAATAATAACAGGTAAAATAAAAAAAATTGTACAACCGACTTCAATATATTAAAATGAGAACATCATCAATGTAGTCGAAGTCAATTAAATACGCATTATTAAGGACAACTCAAAAACTACATACTACATGGGACCACATGAGAACCACCAGCTTTCAATCATCATCATCATAACAGCCCTTCACAAGTCCACTGCTGAACATAGGCCTCCCCTAAGGAATGCCACAAAGCACGGTCCTGAGCCACCTGCATCCATCGACTTTCTGCATGTCTTACCAGGTCGTCACTCCATCTAGTAGAGGGACGCCCTACACTTCGTCCGCCGGTACGAGGCCGCCACTCGAGAACCTTTTTCCCCCTCGGTTGTCGGTTCTTCGATATATGGCCGGCCCATTGCCACTTCAGCTTACTAATCCGTTGGGCTATGTCGGTCACTGGTTCTACTGCGGATATCCTCATTCCTAAGTTTATAACGCAGAGAAACTCCGAGCATAGCCCTCTCCATAGCTCACTGAGCGACCTTGAGCTTCCTCATCCGGCCAGCAGTGAACGACCACGTCTCAGTTCCATAGGTCATCACTGGCAACACGCACTGGTTGTACAGTCCCGTTTTCAAGTTTTGAGGTATACCTGACGAGATGTGCCGTAATTTCCCGAACGCTGCCCAACCGAGTTGAAACCGTCGATTGACCTCTCGGTCGAAGTTGGACTTACCTAGTCGGACTATTTGTCCCAGGTAAACATACTCATCAACAACTTCGAGCTTAGTGCTCCCAACAACTACCGGCATAGGTGTGACATGGACGTTAAACATGATCTTTGTTTTGTCCATGTTCATCTTAAGACCTATCCGTTGGGAAAAACTATTGAGGTCATTGAGCATAGTGCATAGGTCCTCCAGCGATTCTGCCATAAGAACTATATCGTCGGCGAATCGAAGGTGAGTGATGTACTCGCCATTGATGTTAATACCGTATCCTTTCTAGTCTAGAAGCTTGAAAACGTCTTCGAACGCAGCGGTGAAGAGTTTCGGGGATATAACGTCACCCTGTCTTACACCTCTCTGCAGTTGGATACATTTCGTACTCTGGCTCTGTACTCGGATAGCCATTGTAGCCCTTCTGTACATGCACTACAGCACTTCGATATACCGACAGTCAACTTGGTATCGCTGAAGGGACTGCAGCACCGCCCAAGTTTCGACGGAATCGAAGGCTTTCTCATAGCTCACATACGCCAGACATAGTGGCAAATTGTACTCCTCGGACTTCTGTACAATTTGCCGAAGGGTATGTATGTGGTCTATGGTCCTAAAGCCTCTTCGGAAACCGGCTTGTACGGGAGGCTGAAAGTCGTCAAGTCTGCGCACGAGACGATTTGTAATGACTCTCGAAAACAGCACGTAGACGCGGCTCAGAAGGGAAATCGGTCTGTAGTTCTTCAAGAGAGCGTTGTCAGCTTTCTTGAAGAACAAGACCACCGCACTTCTGCTCCACGCCTCCGGTGTGCCACCATGAAGGAGGGAATTAAAAAGCTTCTGAAGGACTTCAAGTACCGGTTTTCCACCCGCTTTCGGAAGCTCCGCTGTAATTCCATCCACGCCTGGGGCCTTGCCGTTTTTAAGGTGCTGGAGAGCCATTCTAATCTCGCTCAGACTGACGT